GTCTGTGTGTGTATTTTTTTTATTCCCTATTTATCACCCTCTGCCATTTCCCACCCTCCTCTATGGTATCTACAATTGTTCCTATTCCTTTTTCCCCACATTTTGTTGATTCCCAAAATATCTTAATCTAAATATTTTCAATCAAAAGTTCAGCTGATATATGCACATCTGTGAACACATGTCTGATTTTAGGCATGAAACTCCATGAGTAAAATGAACATACTATAAAGTAGCACCTAGCTGAGGCTATATAGCTCACTACAGTCCTTAATTTCAGATTTATTATTATTAATATATATTTTAATTTCAAGAAAACCAGTTATAGCTTTAATAAACCAAAGTCAAAAACTGTTAACAGTAATTTGCTTAAGACTTAAAGCCAGGAAACAGGTTAGGATTCTGTTCAAATAGCAGGTACATGAACCTATAGAGAACTCAAGAGAAGACACAAATCCTTAAATGTGGAGAAAAACAGCATAGAAGAAAATCAGTAATGTTTTAGTCACAAGTCATAAAATTCTACATCACCAGTCCAGTCTCACGTAATTAATCTCTCTTCCGCTGTAGTCCGATCTTTCCGTTTAAGTTCTGGAAGATAACATTCAACTCCAGATTTGTCCCTACCATTAAGCTGGCTATTTTCTTAGTTGTTTTTGAATTCTTATTTCTGCGTGTCCGACTTTAGTTTTCCTGGTATAGCACTGCATTCAGAACTCCTTGGAGAGCTGGCCTGGTGTTGGTTAATTCTTTCAGATCTTGTTTATCTGAGAATGTTTTTATCCTTTCTTCCCATATGAAAGATAATCTTGCCAGATATAGTAGTCTTGGTTGAAACTGTTTTTCACTTAACACTTTGAATATATTTTCCATTCTTTCCTTGCTAGCATTATTTCTAATGAGAGGTCTGAGGTTAACCTGATTGGATAACCTTTATAAGTAACCTGATGTTTCTCTCTTGCCAATTTTAGTATCTTGTCTTTGTATGTAGATTTGGTCAGTCTGGCTATGATGTGCCTTAGAGATCTTCTTGGATTGATTCTATTAGGGGTTCTTTGTATTTCTTGGGT